ACAACAATTACTAGCCTTATTTTCTAATGAAACAGGCCTTGTGAGCACCAAGCAGTGACAGATCACCTTAAATATCGTGGTGTACATTATATTTATTGCCTGTAAGGCATCCATTTTTGAGTGACTCTTTTACATATTTCTGGTCAATTTGGAGAAATTTAAAAATAGAGCAATGTGTCATACATCTACATAGGTAAATCAGTTTCATAAATAGCTTTTTGAGATGCTCATGATAGCTAGACAACTATTTAAAAAATAAAGCATAAAACTTCTGTTCTGAACAGTATCATAATTTGTTTGACTTTTTTTATATTAATGAAACAAGTTCAGCAAGTATGATATTTCTTAGATGTTCCTATATTGAAGTTAGTTGTAATAAAACAGTTTTGTAAAACTATGCCCACATATTTACATGTAGTTAAAGCTGATAATACCCAAATGCCCCTCTCTAGTTTCAGACTAATGAAAATACTGACAGATCTTACTCATAATCTCGCAATGGATGGTCACTTGATACGTCATTCAGAGAGATATGGCCAACTAATTTACTGAGCTGTGATGACAAGTGCTGTTTGGTCTTTAGCGTGGCTTACTCATGTCACAATATAAGTCGCTATCATGTTCTGTGCTTATAAGAACTTGTTTTTATAGATGTTAAAAATGAGAAAAAGTAAGACTAATTACATTTTATTTATATGCTCCAATGTGATTTAGTAAAACATTTCTGCTATATAACAATTTATATTATTTTTTGAATATTTGATCTTTGATTACCAGCAATGAATGGTCCTTTCCAATAGTGCTATCAATTAAAAGCAAGCTATATTTATCTACCAACGTGAGTCTTATATACAATGTGACAGCTTGATTCATTTTGAGGCACACTGAAAGTAACTTATAATTATTAAAATAGCAAGGTTTAGTAATTACTTTTTTAAAGTTTCTATAATGCTACTCTTTAATATTACTCTTCCAGAAGTAGAGCTCTGGTCAGGAATTTGTATAAGATTTCTCACCTAGGGGGAAAATATTTCATGTCATCAGTCATGATTAGAAAAACAGTTTGAAGTACGATAATTTCAAGTCTCTTCCCTCTCCCTGCCACTTTCATACAGGAACTTTGTCAGTTAATCAACCTTTGGGCAGAGAGATTCAGCGCTTTGGAGGAAAAGTGTGAAAATATCCAGAAACCACTCCGTAGTATCCAAGAAAATACAGAGCTGTAAGCTATTTTTATATTTTCTTTAACTTTTCTGAGTCTGAAATGATTTTTAACTAAAAATTTTAAATGATAAGAATAATTCCTATGTTCTTTCACCCAGAATTTTTGTTTAGTAACATTTTATTTTTAACTTTTTATTGTGAATGGGGTGAAGTTTTACAGACAAGATCATCAGCTTTACACTCAGCAAACTCTACACCTTGCCCCTTTCTCAATGATTACTGTCCCCTCCTGTAACAATATTTATCCCACTTCTCCCCTATGTCTCCCCATTTACATCTTATATTTCATAAATGAACAAGGCAGAAATATTTGATGTATGCTTTGTGTTGTAATGGTTATGTTCTGTGGAGTTGGTTCTGACTCACGGCAACCCTGTAGAGGGTTTCCAAGGCTGTAAATCTTTACAGGAGCAGAAGGCCTCATCTTTCTCCTATGGACCAGCTGGTAGTTTTGAACTGCTGACCGTGAGATTAGTAGCCTCACTCATAACCACTACACTACCAGAGCTCCTTGATGTATACTTACAAAAGAAAAATTATATATTAATTTAAATGTCCAAAGGGCACTTTCTGCCAACCACTCTCCTGTCCACATGCACACAGCCACTGTCTTTGCTGTTGCTGCTTTTCTAGGTAGGGATCTCATGCTCCACTCTTGCTCTTCCTTCTGGAAGGTCCTGGGATCATCTGTTCCTCAACTGAAAGATTACCTAGTCCCTCCTTTTAGTTACACATCTTCTGTAATTAACAGTTGTGATTGCAATTAATCCAATTAACAGTTCGTCCTAATTGAGCCATGAATTCCCATTCTGTCACTGTTGTCCCCCACCCACTTTCACCAGCTCCATCTGGGAAAGAGGGAAACTCTTCAGTGATTTCATTACAATCTGAATTCATGCTCTGTTCAAGTCTTTTGAATTAGAGTCCAAAGATGAATGTTATTTAGGTATTAGCAAAGATTTGTGTTCTGTGGTTGTTGGGTGGAGTACTTTATGCCAATTAAATCCTATTGGCAATGTTCAGAGCTTCTATATTCATACTGATTTTTCTTGTCTAGTAGCTGTATCAATTGCTGAAAGAGGAGTGTTTAATTTTCCAAATAAGTTAGCATCATGTAACATAATTTTCTTTG